GTGCAGATGGGTGGCAGGAACCCAATTCCTTCATTCATCACCCTTGCCGCACAGCAGCTGCACTGGTGGACACTGCAGTCAGGACTTGGAGCCAGGAACTGGACCCTGGTTCTCTGATGGGGAACACTGACAGGATGAAATTCAAGCTAAATGCCTACTCCCTGCTCTAGATGCGCAGGGAAGGTTTTGGAGATGGTCTTGCATGTTTTTACAGATCTGAAAAACTTTCATTTCTGCATGATATTTATTTGCCTGGATGTAGAATTCTAAGATTGAAAATCTTTTGTTAAAACAAATAGTGTCTTCTACTATACTTGTTGCTGATGAGAAATATGTTTGTCTAACTCTTGTGTCTCTGGAGCTATGTGTATATATATTTTCTCCTTAACCTTGGAACTCAACATTTTGTGAAGACTTTTTTCTTAAATTTATCCTGATTAGCACTTGGTGGCCCATGTACTTCAAGGGGTTATCTCGTCCTCTGATACAGAGAAAGTTTCTTGCATTTATTTCCTCTCATTCGTTATATTCCCTTCTCCTAAGTTAGCTTTTCCCAATTTCACCTTCTCTGTCATTTTAATATGTACCTTTCTTCCTGTCTATTTAGTGCTTTTATTTGCCAAGAACTCTTTGCAATTCTGTTTTCTTGGTTCACGTTAGCTTGTTTGTGTTACCTGTGTGTTATATCTTATCTTCAAGGTACTAACTTAAAAAGAAAAATCACCCCTTTTCTTATGTGACTTTAGCATTGTCTCTTTCCCTTGGATCTCCCACACCCAGCCACTTTTTTTCCCCTGGATTTTTCAGATTAGTGCAGTTCCCAGGGTATTGCTTCTTTCTAGGCCTCTGCTTTCAATATGACTGACCAGTGAGTATCCAGCAGCCAGAAAGACTGTTGTTGGTTAATGGAGCAGCCTGGGTCAGGCAGGCTCTAGGTGAACTGAATTCGCCGTACCTTCTGTGGAGCCTCAGAACCTTCTTTTATAGGTGTGGGGCCTATTCTCTTTGGCAGGTGAAGCAGAGGGTTGAATGGATCAACTCTGTTGATCTGTTGGTAAGGTAATAAGGTAATTTACGATAGAAATTGGGCTAATGTTGGTGATCTTGGCAGAATCATGAATCTGAACCCCAGCTGTCACCCTGTCTGCAATGCACTCTTGCAATGGGTGCTTGCTGAGTGAATTAGGAGCTGCACTGGGGTTCTTTCCGGAAGACTGCTCTTCCACTGCTTCTTTCCCTCAGGAACAATGATCCCATCTGCTTTCTATTTTCTTCGCTAGGCTTTCTTCAAAATTTATGAATCTCTAATAGCCAACTATTCTTGTTTCCCAGTACTGTTACGTTCCTATTCTTTTTCTTTAAAATATTTTCTGCTACTTTGGCGGAAAATAAAGAAGTAAGGGAGGTAAAAAGCATACTCGGTTTACTATCTTACCCTGGAAGCTCTTTCATCTTTGTTTTATTCCATTTTAGACATGTAGGCTTCCTATATTTTATTTTTTATGTCACTTCTTTTTGGAACCAAAAAAAAATTCAAAGATGATTGTGCAGGAGTGGGTTTACAATGATAGGTCGTAAACCCTTTAGTCTATTTTCCTTTTATTATTGAAATTACATCTGGATGGTCTCATGAGGCCTATGAAATATTGGACATTAAATCATTGAAGCTCTGAGCCATTCTCAGTGGGAATTGTTATGGGGTTTGTTTTCAGCTTCGTTTTCTTGCAGGATGTGACTTGTTACCAAGAGAGGTTTATGTCCCCTCATACACTGTGGTAACATATGGAAGAACATTTGATTCCTCCAAAGAAAATATAAGTATAGAATATTCTGGTTAAATGGAGAAACTGTAGGGACTTAGAATCAAAGCTGGAATCAAAATAGACCTTAATGAAGAATGCAAAGCCTCCGGCCATTATTAGTCTATGAAGACTCAGCTCAAAAAGGCAAGTGCAGAAATGAAGTCTTTACAATAAGGACTGAGAAGCGACAAGAGTACCTGATGGCTTTAAGATCTGAGATGAGAGCCAGCTAGACACCTTGAAGACAATCTGAGACCAACCCTAGACATTGTTTGGCCTCTCTGGGAAAAGACTAGTTTCAGTCTTTGTAGAATGGATATGCTGGAAAGCATTGTTCCAAAACGTTCATGGAAACAGACCATGATGTTTAGAGGGCATAAAACTAGGTCCAAAGCTATAGAATGTTGCTCTTAACTGTGACTCATATGAGTGTAAAATTTAAAAATGATTGTCATCTGGATGCATATGCTCTAAGGTAAATCAATTAGTATACCGATTAAAGAGCATCTTGACTTTTTTTTAACAGCAAAAATTAATGTATACATTTAATGCAAAATGCTAGCAGGCATGGTTTGCCTTTTGCCCCATGGATAAAGAGCCCATTGCCCCTAGCCTCTCAATACTTTTTTTCAGTTGTTTTACTATTCCTGGCTTGTGGTAGTGATAAATGAGTTATGTATGGGTGGGTGTTGAGATATGTTAGAGTACTTAGGTTCAATACCCACTTCCAGCTCTTGATTCCCATTTCCTACTAATGCAGATTTAGGAAGGCATGGTGTAGAGTGACTGGGTTCCTGCTACCCACATGAAACACCTGGATTGAGTCCCCAGTTCTTAGCATTGGTCTGGTCCAGTCCCAGCCATTGGAGGCATCTGGAGAGCCAACACTTGGGTGAAATACATCTCTGAATATCTGTCTCTTACTCTTTTGTCAAATAAAAATAGAATTTTAAATTTGTCTTCCCTTTAAACTTTTAAGTTCCCTCACCCTCAAAAGTAATATTTTGGTCTTTGATATTTTTGCTGTTTGTTGAAGAATCAAAAGCAAGAAAGGATAGTCCTTTTAAAAAATTAATTACTTGAAAGAATTATACACAGAGATGGTGGGGAGAAAGGAAGAGAGAGATTCAGAGAAATAGTGATGGAGAGAGAATGGAAGAAAGAAGACAGATTGACAGACCAATATTCCATCTGCTGGTTCACTCCCTAAACGGCCACAGTGGCCAGAGCTGGGCTGGTCAGAAGCTGGAAGCCATGAATTTCCTTTGAGTCTCCTCCATGGTGCAGGGGCCCAAAGAAGTGAGCCATCCTCCATTGCTTTTCCAGACCATTAGCAAGAAGCTGGATCAGAAGTGGTACAGCTGGGATGCAAACAGGCGCCCATATGGGATGCCAGTGCTGAAGGTGGAGGATTAACTTGCTATAACACTGTGCCTGGATTTGGAACATTTCTTTCAGGTGGTTGGTTGCTTGACAGGTTGTTTTCAGACTTCAAAGTTGTGTGTAGTAATTGCATGCTCATTTAGGTGTTAGAAGCCCTTGACATTAGTTCAATATTAATAATTGAGTCAGACTAAAGAGAGAAAAAATTGCAGGGGAATCACTGTACTATACAGGCAACAATGAAAGCCTGTAAGTAGGTACCAAACAATTAGAACACTCCACAAATGGCGGAGAAGCTACTATAACTATAGACAGGGTGCCAGGTATTGGGAGCAGTCCTCAGAGGTGACCTTCAGATTTGGGAGTTGGGCTAGGTGGGCTACTAGAAACATGTGGATTTCTTCTGGACTTTTATAAAGTGTTAGTGATGTCTTAAGATTCATGGTGCCTGACATATGCAGATGGCTGTGAAAATGTATTCCTCTCTCCTTCATCTTCCTTTAACTTCCACTCTTCCCTCCCTTCACGTTCTTCTTGATTTTTCTTCTTTGGCCATAACATTATGTCTCTAAGTTACTTTCTACCTCCTGGAATCCTCTGATGTGATTTGTGCCTGATCTAAACTCAGATTCTTATCTCTTTCCCTATAACTTTTAGTGCCTGTTACTTCCCAAGTTAGAGAACTATATGTGTAAGGACTCTCAGGTGAGATGGTCAAGCTACTCATCATGATAGTCCATTCTTGACATTTAGTGATGATGATTTTTACTTCCCATAGTTTTTTTTTAAGAATGTTTTTTTATTAGAAAGGCAGATTTCACAGAGGGATAAAGAGACAGAGAAGGTCTTACATTCACTGGTTCACTCCTCAATTAGCTGCAACCGACAGAGCTGAGCTGATCCAAAGCCGGGAGTGAGGAGCTTCTTCGCGTCTCCCATGTGTATCCAGTGGCCCAAACACATGGGTTGTCCTATTGTGCTTTCTCAGGTCATAATCAGGGAGCTGGATTGGAAGTGGAGCAGCTAGGACAGGGACAAGTGCCCATATGAGATGCTGGTGCCACAGGTTGGAAAATTAGCCTGTGCCAACTCTTCTCTCCATAGCTTTCAATCACTCTATCATAAACATTTGGAAAACTCTGTTAGTCACTTCAGTAAAAAGGAAAAGGAGCTTGCCGTCCTTACTATAAAGCAAACTGCTGATGGTCCCAGGGTACTATCTTTTTTCACCCTTTGCTAACTTTAATTTCTTTTCTACCATGGCCTTTGGGCTTTGGTTTTTTTGTCCATTTATTTATTTGTGTGTCCTAGTGCTTGTATTTGCATTACAACTTCTGATTAAAGGCAGATCTTCTGATCATTCTGTTGATAAGCCTGGATTGTTTATAAATACCACCTATGGTTCTGTAACCATAAAATAAGTGACCTGGCTGATTTTATTTACCTATATCCTATATTGTGACTTTGTAGCAGTGAACATGCCTATCTAAAGTACATTGGCCGTTCAGCGGTTCCTTCTTTAGGAACTACTTGCAGTGAAGGGTCTCTTCAGAACTTAAAGGACACAGAAATTGGAAACACATACTGTTTCTCTTTATGACTGGCACCAGAAAGACAATGAGAAACATTGCAGCTTTCCATTTTGGGACTTTCCAATATGTGTTCCAACATTTAGGCTGGAAAAAGCCAACACCCCTCAAATTTCTGAAGGAAAGCATCCAATAATCAAAGTAAACCAACTGATGTTACTTTAATGTGTTATACATTTTTGGAAGTATAAAATTTAATTTTATACCTGATTTCTCATTTCTTTAGAAGTGGAACGAGTAGTGAAAGCCAATGACCGTGAATATAATGAAAAGTTCCAGTACGCTGTGAGTAAAATACACATGGCTTATATATTCTGAGATGCATCTTTCTCTAAGTAATTTCAGTGGAATTCAAACCCTTGTAGAACTTTATGCCATCACTAAATCTTTACTTACTGGTCCCTTTTAATACCAAACTGCCAATTTTTCTATTAATACAGGACTTAATAGTTAATTTCATCTGTATTTCTCTCTTGAACTAAGGGTTCAGTATATTTTTGGCATGGAGTGGTGATAAAATATTTTAATTGATGCTTAATTTGGTGTCCCTTTGGATACTATAATACATAGAAATAATACAACAATGAGACTTATTGATAATGATGTTGGAAGTGATAGTGGCTGATGATAAATGATGTTGGGTTTTTTTAAATTAAAAATTTGTGATAAAATTTTCATTTTATAGTGAAAGGTATTTTGATTTTGCTAAATAAAAGTTTACATTCAACAAACAAATCATGGTTCAGGCGAAAAATAGGCAAGGGCTATAAAGCTAATGAAAAGCACTTCACTTCGCTTATATGAAATTTTTAAAAGACATGTATTCATTTTTATTGGAAAGGTAGATTTACATGGAGAAGAGACAAAGATTTTCCATCTGCTAGTTCACTCCCTAAGGGACCACAATGGCCAGAGCTGAACTGAAGCAAGGAGCCAGGAGTCTCTTCTGGGCTTCCTGCATGGATGCAGGGTCCCAAGGCTTTGGGCTGTCCTCGACTGCTTTCCTAGGCCACAAGCAGGGAGCTGGATGGGAAGTGGAGCAGCTGGGACATGAACCAGTGCTCATGTGGGATCCTAGCAATTACAAGACAAGGATTTAGATGCTGGTCCCATTTATATAAGTTATAAAACAGTCACAAAATCATTAAAAGTATAGTAACCTACTGTCTTCCTAAAGTGCTACTATTACTACATTAAAGCTGCAGTAATTTGTCAAAAAAGCCATATTTTCATCAAAACTGATACTTGTAAATTTTTAATTTTAGTTCTATATATAAGGGAGAACATGTGATAACCCCCTATGTCTGGTATATTTTCCTCAACATGGTGTCTTCTAGTTCCAATTATTTTGCTGCAAATGAGATTTAAGTTTAAATTGATGAATGCTGTTTCGTTGGGTATATATTACATCACACATGTATATCATACATACACATTTCACGCATATATGCACATATTAACAGTTTAATGTATTTATCTGATGATGAATACCTTGTTTGAGTTCATATTTTGACTGTTGTGAACAGTGCTATTAACATACCTGACTGAGAGGGTATCTCTTTGGTACAATGAATTCCTGCCTATGAGTGTATACCCAGTAGTGTGCTTATAGGATGATATGGCTGATCTATTTCTAGTTTTTAAAGAAAATGTTCTCCTCAGTGGCTTCATTAATTTACATGACTACCAGTGGGGTATAAGAATGTGGAAGGATTTTTCCATAAGCAGTTCCATGTGAATGCAGAAAAGTATGTGCAGGGTAAATTTTCTGGATATTAGATTGGAATTATTATATTGACAAAATGAGTGAACATGATTAAAATATGTGGATTTTAAGTTTGTGCTGAGTTTTTCTTTTTAAAATATTTATTTGAAAGGCAGAGCTACATTGAGAGAGGCAGAGGGAGGAGGAGAGAGATCTTCCATCTTCTGTTCATTCCCCAATGTCCACACTGTCCAAAACTGAGTCAGGCTCAAGCCAGAAGCCAGGGGCATCCTCTCCTACGCTGGGTGCAGAGGCACAAGCAACTGAGCCTTCCTCCGCTGCTTTTCCAGGCATGTTAGTAGGAAGCTGGTTCAAAAGTGGAGCAGCCGGGCCTTAACTGGGTGCCCATGTGGGTTACCAGCCCTGCAGTTGATTGTCTCACTTGCGGTACCACAGCACTCATTTTAAAATGAAGATTTTCTTCATTTATATGAGAAATATTTATTGAGTGTCTACTAAATGATTGGTACAGTTTAAGAAGCTTGGGATACATTGGTGAAGAGCTTCATGAATTACGACATAAGTCCTTATCGTTTTATGACCTAAGTTGCTATAGTGTCTTGTATAAACTCTGAAGGAGTGATTGAATTGCTTTTGTAGATGACATGCTCGGTAAGTCCTAGAGTAAGACCGTGTATCATCACATTTAATGACAGGCAGGATGGCCATTAAAGCATAGAATTGCGGTTAGTCATGTGGCATACATTGGCAGTGTCCATTCAGGTACTGGTTAGAGGAGAAAGATATTTGCCTACTGAATTTTAAAAAATATTCTGTTCTTTTAATGAGTATCTAGGGATGGATGCATTGAGTAAGTTACCCTTATAGTATTAAACATTCAACTGTAGCTAATAGCTCTTTTCTCATGTTATGTCAACCATACCAGCTTATGATCATAATTTTATTTTCCATGTAGGTTTCCCTACAGGCAGCAATTATACTTTTTATATGCTGGATTTCTCATTGTAAAACAATTTATTGGTGCTCTGTTTTATTCTTCAGTCTTGTAAACTTAGTTAAAGCAAAGCTGCCCTGCGGGGAAGGGATGTCTCTCAGGTGGCCATGAGCCAGCATAGCCACCTGAGAGGGAGGGCTGAGAGTCCTCATGTGACGAGGAGGTCGCTTCGTGTGGCCTCCTGACCTGCACTGACTTAGACCTGTTGGTCAACACTAGACTTGGTCACCCTGCTTTCCCAATCATTCTACAGCTGGTTCCCCAATTACAGAGAATGATTCTGGAAATCCTGACCATCAAATATCAAATCCTAACAGCACTGTGTGTCTGTTTATGTCCTTGGCATTGTGAAAACTAATCTATGGAGTAATTGTGCAGTTAGGTACTTGGCTGCATTTACTTACTTTCCAATGTGTACTAAACATTTTCATTCTGTGAATAGCAATTCCGCAAGAACAACCCTATTTTTACTTGCATTTTATAAGATGATGCCATGTTTTTCTACTAATTTTTTACTTGATCTGCAAGATGTTTCAAATTTACAGAGGAGCATGGAAATAATATGCTTGTATGACCACCACTCAGATTAAATAGATGTTAACGTGCCATGATTGACTTGAGTCTTTATTTTACATGCGATGATATGCTAATGATTCAGAGGTGGCTTTCTCTGAAGCTTTCATGATATCGAATGGGAGCACAGAGCATGCCATTGGTGGCTGTGGTTGCTGTTGGATTTCCTAGTAACACTGAGGCAGTAGAACAGTATCCTACAGCCATAGCCAATTGACAAGGCAAACAGCCTGGTGTTTGAGGAAAACCAGGGCAAGGGAAAGTCAAAATCCATCATGGACCAGAAAACTATAAATAGCAGCCAAAGTTGAAAAGTGTAAGTTCCATGGTGGGCATCCCTGCTCTCCTGACCGCTGATGTGGCTCAGGAAAAGTCTGCTCTTGCCAATTCCCAAAAGGAGCATGGATTCCCCCCCTTATGTCCAGCTGGTATTGCTTTGATTCAGCAACTCTTGAGTGAGGTGACTGGCATCACAGTGGGCTCTGGAGCCTCTTGGCCTCAGTCTGCTCAGCTGCAAATGGGGAATTAGAAGCATAGTTTCATATAATTATTGTAAAGAACAAAGTAAGAGAACACATTGGCCCCATGAGCTAATCTATGCACAGAAGGGATTTGAACCTATGGTGATCTGATTTTAAGGTTTTTAACTTTTTAAAATTGCTTCTTAAATGGAATATCCTTTTAGGAAAAAATAGCAGCCTGGGGAGTTCAGCTCAGGATTGCCCAGCTTTAAAGGCTGTTACCCCGAACAGCAATGGACTTAGACTCCAACAGAGTCCATCCAGAATGTTCATAACAAGGAAAGGAGTAATGTAAACACACACACACACACACACACACACACACACACACACACACACACACACACACACACACACAATTTAATAGCCAAAAAAAAAGAAAAAAAGTGAAAGCTGCTCAGGTGTCATGGTTTTGGATAAGATTAGATGATGGATGGGTCTTTTCTGTCTTCTTGCTAACCTGTGATCTTGATCTGCTTGTTTGAGTGTCAGTCATCTCATCCATGCAATGGGGAAATTTCCCTTGAAGGATTATTCCCTAATGGATCAAATTAGATAATTTACTTAAATATTTGAGACTAGGAAGACCAATATCACATGTTTAATGTGTACCAGGTCTGGTGCTAAGCCTTTGTTTTCTTCTGTTTCATTTCTTTAAGAAAAGATTTATTTATCTTGAAAGTCAGAATCATCCAGAGGAGAAACAGTTCTTCTATTTATAGGTTCACTTCCCAGATGTCCCCCCGCCTTTTTTAAAACTTAAATTGAATATGCCTATGGGCAAGTACTCAATAGGGTTTAAATTTTCTTTAAAACATTTGACAAAGTAAGATATCAGTGATGACAATTCTAAGAAGACACTGGGAAATTGAGTAAACTTAGTTTTTGTAGCAGAAAATAAAACAGCAAACCTGTGATGCTGGAGCTGTGAAAGTGATGGAAAAATTAATGTGAATTGTGCAATAAAAGAGATTGCATGTAAAGCAAGAGAATTCAAAGCATGAGTCTTTTAAAAAACATTTTATTATTATTATTATCATTTTATGATACAGTTCCATAGGCTTCTGGCATTTCCCTTATCCCCTCCCCAATTCCCTCCCCCCCACCTAGTTCCTCTATATCATTACTAAAATATAGTTGTTCATACAGTCATATGTCCATCATTGTGGGCATGGACAATGTCAGAGTCCAGCATCCTATTGTCAAGATATAGTAAACAGTTTCATTGCAAGTCCATCTTTGTTTGGAAGTAGAAATACATACATTTTATCCTCACATCTGGATGTTAGTCTCCATTTTACAGCTAATGTACATCCCCTTAAATGAAAAATCATAATACAAAATCAACAATAAAGAGAAAAATAGAAATTTACAATGCCACGAAGTTAAATGACATGTTACTAGATATGACAGTCTCCATTACGCAGCTACAAATGAAAAGCCACAAAACAAAATCAACATCAGGGAGAAA